CTGCAAAATCAGGACTATTTCATTTAGTCCTGAAGTCCCTCAAGCTGACAGCCTGTATGTCAACCAGCAGACAGCAGGAAAAAGGAGTGCTCTTTAGACCTTAGGGAGCTCTAGCAGAAAATAAAAAGTTTTTCCATAAGAAAGTCTTCCTCCTTCAAATAGAGTTTTTAAAAGACACAACCCAGGATATCCTAGAAACGATACCAGGTGGGTCACATACCAAAGCTGCTTGTTTTAGTTGGAACTTTCATGTAATTTTAAGCAAAATCCATGCAGCAGTGATGTCAATATATGCATTGATAGTTGCTTTGTCCTTTTACTAACCGTATTCAAACTCTAGCAGGCCCTAATGCACATCACAGCTAGACAGAAAATAAACTCAGCATGGGCCTTGTAACAAAATTTACAGTGGACCTGTGTTTCACCTCTCAGTGTTCATTGTTCCTGTTAGAATGGTTAACAAGTAGTTACTCTGCAACAGTGTTTTTGTACTGAGGTCTCAAGCAAAGGTAATTCCTAAAGGTGGTTTCAACATTCAGTTAACAAAGTTGGATCCTTCCCAAAAGAACACTGCAAATGATACAAAGGGTGAACCAAACCATTTAGACTGGACCCACAACTTCTAGCTGTTGCCAGTCACTTCAGAGTTTAATCACAGAACAACAAAACAGGTGACACTATCTTATTTTGCTGTATGAGGAATGTACAAACAGCCCTGCACATGCCCTCTGCTTGAATTCAAAAAAATGTATTGGTACCTGAATTTTGCAACTGAATTATGAGAGCAGGATGTATTGGACTTGGCTGCCGGAGGATGAGGAATAACATTAGGAAGACCTACACTCCAATTTCTGTATTTTAAATACCTGACACAATACTACTGGCAAACTGTGGCTCTTGAATGTATGAAGAATTAGTGTGTACAACAGATGTGCACTTGAACACTTCTTTTCCTTACCATAACTATGGCTCTTATCCTTCCCGAACAATAAGAAGCCATGTTACCTCTTGGTTTGCTTTTCAGGCTCCTTGCCACCTTAGGTTTCAGTTTGCAAGGAAAGAGCTGCAGTTACTTTACCCTTACACTAGGTCAAACAGTAAACCTTCCGAGGTAACCAACACCATGGAGAAATGCCTCTTGTGGAGGTCTTTGGTCCAGAGAGAGGCAAGAAATTGTCAAATACACGTTCATCAGTGACAACCATACAGTAACCCCCTTCTTTCAGAGCTATCACAATTTATAAGAACGCTGTGATGTAACACAGCAGTCTTCATAGTATTGAAGTTGTCCTGGCTCTTACCCAGGTTGCACCTTAGTAACCAACATTAATCTTGTTAGCCCCTGATGTGTACCAGCTGGGGGCAGTAGGCTCCTAGGCAGTAACCTACCTTGCTCATTGAGGAAAAAGTAAATCTTTTACAGCTGCCAATCCATAGCTTCACAGTCAAGTTGCCTTAATCATACTAGGGTTTAACAAACTCTGCTAGTCAGCCTAGAGATATAAGGCAGTTCTTTCTAGCTAACGTAGCCTGTAGGAGCAGATCCAAAGCAACGTCTCGCCAAGATGGCACAGATCTGTGCTTTGCCAGGGTCATTGTCCATTGGCTGCACTGCCACAAATTTGTAATATCACAGAGTCAAACCATCCCATCTTTAATAAAAAGAGAATGGTATACCTTCCTCAGTGAGCTCATGATTGCAAAGCTAAATAAAGGTTTGTCGTGCCCTTTAATGCAACTGTGAAAATGGAACTGGCAAAACTAACAGACTCAGCAACAGACTTGTGAGACTGAGAAGCTGTAGAATTCAGCATCAATCACCTGCATCCCTTCACATTTGCAGAGATCACAGCACGGGGAGACATGGGCTATCAGCCCTGAAGCACTGAACTACTAAACTAGCACGAAGTCACACGAATTCAATGATTAACTGACTGAATGACGTGGTACTGAAAAGGCATTTCAGTTTCCTAACTTACTATTCTACTTAGAGAAAACAAACTGGATTTTTCAACAATACTGTAGAGAAAAAGCCTGTGCATATATTTTATTTTTTCCTTTAACAGATACCCTCTGAGCTAGATTTGGTCACAGCTAAAAGACAGGACTATGAGCCTGAAATAGAGAAAGCAAGATACAGTAGCTGTTTGGAAAGGCAGAACACAGGTGGGAGACAACATTGTGAGATGGCATCTACCTGTAAGCCTGGTCAGATAGAGGCTGCTGCAGTGGCAGTAGATCAGAAGCAGCCAAATAGTTCCAGGTGAGCCTGCTGCTATAAATGTATTTTATAAGCTATATAAGTTACTGTACCTTTTAAAACACACAGACAGCCCAGTTTGGAAGATGCCATACAATGTTAGTTTAGTGGATTTTCCTTGCTGTTATTTCTTTACAAATTTTTTTTCTTCATAAGTTGTAATTGCCGAGACCCTGTTTAACTTTCTGCTTACTTGTGGGGAGGAGCAGAAATACAGACTCCTTGGCTATTGAGTGTGATGCCACTTACCAGCGGAAACTGAGACAGAAGCAGCTACAGCAACAGTTCCGGGAACAGATGGAGAAAAAGCATCAGGTTCCAGTAGTTACTCCTAGCAGCAAACAGGGTAAGACTTGGCATTAAAAATTGACTTTTTTAATGACAGCTGCTAGCAGGCTCCTCAATACAGGAGCCCAACCAGTTTCGTTTGCTTTTGTACTGTACCATTAGCGCACCTTTAAGACCAGAGGAAGGAGGATTAGCATACTTTTCCCCTCTGTGTTCTTAAAGTGTCAGGAATGTCATCTCTAAAACTCCTTTATTAAAATTGCAACCTTCCAATCACCCTAAAGCTTCATGCAGCACAGCAGCTGTTGTCAGTACCATTAACATGCTGCACCTGGGCTGAGACTGCAGCACTTCACTGAGGTGGTTGCAGGCAAATAGATACTGCATTAGCTACTAACATGTTGCTCTTTATTCAAGGGGAAGTCTGGACAGCTGTGCAGTAAGCAGAAACTTGGGGATGGGGTAAAACAGGCTAAAAACCAGTTTGAAGTAGTGCAGTTGCTCTTATCAGCCATCATCAGGTACAGAACCTTACCATTCCACATGCTACCAAAACATAACCAGCTCCAGGAAAAAAAGAGGGTACCTGGTGGCAGCTGCTCCTTATCATTTCAGACTCATGCTATGTGAAGAAGGAGAGAAGAGGTTCTTCTGTATTTCTGATATTAATCTTGTGTTACCTCCATCCAGCAACATCCGATCCTCCTGTAAAGCACAGCGCTCCAACAGCAGTACAACAGGAACTAGCAGTAGAAGAGGAGTTCTTCGCAGGTCAGCCAAAAGTGATGAGTAATAGTGTGTTAAATCATTAGCATTTAAATCAGCTCTTCAGAGTACAGCATAAAGGTAAAAGTTCTGAAGTGGTTAGAATAGTAGAAGGGTGACTATGAGTCTGAGGTTAGCAATACAAACCTTGCTTGAGTGGCAGGGAAATGACATCCATCACTATGAGGGGTTGCACACCATGCTTTTCAGTAGAGTTATAAACCCTTTTCCTCAAATGATATTGCACAGAAACAGAAAATTTGTAGGGTGAGGGGGTGTCTTAACATAACCCTGGCTCTTCGGGCCACTCTTACACCACAGTGCCTGGACATTACTATAGTCCAGAGCACAAGGGATAGTACCGTTTCCCCGCTGTGCACTGACATAGAAGATGTTCCTGGTTTAGAATTTCACTTTTGTAGCGGCCACCATTTGTAGAAGAGTGAGCTGGTTCTGGAGTTACTGTCATTGCTGTGGTATAGTAGTGTCATTTTTGGTTTGATCACCTTTTTGTTCATTCTAGATGATCCTGAACTTTGGGATGTTTCCTTGGAGACCATTGATCTAAAGATAATGGGTCACAAAATGGCAGACCCATCAGCTGGACCCCAGACACCTGAAACACCCTGTGGACGTCATCAAATGACTACTCGTAACAGGACACCTCACAGAATGAATTATCCCAAAGCTTCTGCTAGGTCTGCACAATTGCAGCCAGCTGCTACAATCATGAGCAACAGCAGCTGTGCCAGCCGGCACACCCCAGGTATGTGCTACCAAAAAATGACCGAGTTCTGCCTTCATAATGGCTCTTGGCTTTGAAAGCAGTGCTGTTAGATTAGGAAATTGGAGTGGGAGAAACGTTCCTCTTTTCTTGGACCTGGCTGCAGATGCTGCAATAGTGGGCTAAAGGAACTATCTGTTTTTTCCATCCAACTGTCCTGTCAAGGGAGAGCTAGAAAAATAATTGAGGAGCACTTTTAGAAGCAGGAAAAAGAGCTTTAAGAAACTTCAATTTCTCACTGTCTCCCTGTTTGTCAGAGTGCAGCCCCCACACGAGAAGTCAAAGCTTGAAGAAAAGGAGGCTAGAACCTGCATAGGCCACCTGATGGTACCATTACCTCCATGCTGGATTACATCAGAAGACTGCAGTTGGCTGTTCAAATTATGTGAGGAAGTCTAATGCATTAACGGATTTTCCTATATATTATGGGTGAGTTTAATACAGCCAGCAAGAACTTAATGTATTTTTAGGTTATTACATGTTTCAGATGCCTTTTTCTATAAACAAGCAATCATTTGTGCTTCTGCAGCACTACGCTAGCGGCCATATTACAAACTGATGTTACATGTAATTTGCCTGAAATGGTAACAGAATTAATCTTTCAAATGAGATGCAATTCATAGCTTCTTTCTCCCTCAGCGTTGCACTTCAGCACCGAGAAAAGAGATTTTCAGCAAAATGGGGAGAGGGTGAGTTATGGTCAGATGACAAAGCCTACAAGCTGCAGTCTCCCATTCAGTGAGACAGAGCGTGAAGCTGTGGCAGTGTCTGCCTCTGATGCGCAGCCCAACCCTTTGCCCTGTGGCTGCAAAAGCGGGGTCAGAGACCATTGCTCCTCCTCAGCTTGTTCCTCAGCTGCATGGGATTCCCGTGCAGCAGCGGCACATCCAGCTGTGCCTGCGCAACATGGCACCACAGGGGCAGGAGCATGCAGGGACTGCTGCCAGGGAGTTGCAGACAGCAGCTCGGATAGTGTTTGCTCGGACCCTTTGTACAATGAATGGGAGCTGCACTTCTGTTTTTAAATAAGCTTTCAACCCTTTGCAATATGAAAATAAAACATGAAATTTGAAGAACAAACCACACTTGCAGCTGTTTGTGCCTCTATGCCCTTCAAACCATTACAACTCATTTCCTGCTTAACAAGCTCAAAGAAGTTAACATATTCTGACTCTTACAAGTAGGACGCTAAGAGGCTACCACCATGTCTGCACAGCCTTGCATTTGCTTTAAGACGGACAACAGAAAACTTCAAGTGGGTTTTAAACTTCACAACAAAGCAACAGCTGTTCCTTCCAGCAAGAAGGTCAAAGAAAGAATTGTTAAGCAGTATTTCAAACTGGATACAGCAGTATTTTTCAGAAGCGCAGTGCTGGAGACAAGGGTGATATAGCATGACTGGAAATTAGAGCTGGACCAGGAAAATTTACACAAACTCTTCGATTAGTGCAACCCTGAAATCAGTGTCAGACCTGAAACAGGACCTTGGTCCCATGCTTTGCCATCATTGCTCTGTTGTCAAGTCTCTTAAAGCAGTCTAAATGTAAATACATTTGAAGTACTCAGCATTTATTCCTGTTCCTCCTACTTCACCTTCACTGCTTAATCGGTCCTTTTTCCTTGAAGGAACCTCTACTATCCACTTACCTCCTCGACAGGACAAAGAACGATTGACTTCAGTATGGAAAGACAGGAGAAATTATAATTAACTGTAACAGATTACATCTAGAAAATAGTTTCACATTTCCCTGGACTTGTTTCTCTCCAATTCAGTGCTGCCTTCAGAACAGCTCAGGGAAGAAATACATGCCACATGTTTGAGTCATACCCTCACAGCTGAAATCAGATACCTGTTAGGAAGGAAATGTGCAGACATTCAGAATCAGTGTATTCAAAGCCACTCCAAAGTTTTATAGTGAAAAATTAAAAGTCTCATATGAACAGAACTGCATCAGCTTTCTTGACTCCGCAGAAACAGTGCAAATGTAGCCATGCCTCCTCTAAGGGAAATCACCGCAATAAACCTCTCAGCATTAGTCCCTTTTAAAAGGGCAGTAAAACTTCTACTTGAAGCTTTTTTATTTTCCTTTAAGGGCTTGAGCAGCATGACTCATAACAGCAACTGTTCTTAAAATGGAAAGAAATGCAGCAGCAATTAGTGTTTAGAAATACCAAATAATTCCTGCAAGTCTACAGGGTCATTCTCAAACAGCTATGATGTAGTTCCACTCTTTAGCAGCACTATCAACAGTTTGGGGATGGAATTTGTTACACATCTAAAGTTTCTTCTCCCCAGCACTGCAGGTGCACACCCCTGCTCCCTTCCACCCCAGAAAGGAGGGGAATGGACCCAGAAGAGGAGCAGGACTCATCTGCGCCTGTGACAGGGTTTCCCCAGCCCTTGCTGCACACCCAGTTCCAGCTTCACTGCCAGAAAGAAGCACAGAACTGCTGCTAGTGGAGCTCCATCTGTGCTTCAAACAGGGAGAGGCAGCAAGTTCCTGACTGTCAGAGCTGAACGTGTTTCTCTGCTCTTTGGTAACTTCTTGACAGTGTCAGCCATAAAAGCAACCACACTGCTTATATGTTAACCTTCACACCTCCCTACCTTTCCTTCAGGACCCTCCTCTCAAAGACAACCCACTCTATAAACTCTTTGTTTAGTCCCTTGTTTCAGAGTATTCTGTTAAAAGGCCAAAGGCTCATTACTGATCACTGCTTTTGAGAAGTTAAGGGTCTAATTAAAACAGGTTTCTTGTACTTTCCTGTGATAAACTGGGTAACAGTTAAATCACTCCAGGAAGAGGATGGAGAGGTTGGAACCTGGTGTTCAACAAGAAAACCCACAGCTCAACAAGAGCAGGTTTGGTTTATTTGAATGACTTCATATTGAATATTCTACAAAGGTAACAAATTGCAGCACAAAGCGCAATCATACAAGAAGCGCAAGTGCCTGGGTTTAGTGCAAAACATACAACTAACTACAGTCAAGGAAGCCCAAAGTTTCAATTAATTTTATTTTTTTTTTATTTTTTTACAGTGTACATTGTTAAATAATGTAAAGAAAACGCTTGTAATTCAGAAACAGATTTTATGTGGAAAAAGATACTCAAAGTGTAATATTAAACAAAATAATTTAACAGTTCAGTAGCATTAGTTTATTCCTCTAGACTTCAGTTATTCATCCACAGGAGGGGGGGAGGGGGAATCAATGGTAAATAAAACCAGTTCTTGCATAACATTAAGTGAAAAAACGACCTCAAACTTATTGGATCAAAATTAAATAACCACATGCTGCATCCAGCCAGTTAGTTCCCCTCCCATGAATATTCCCCCTTGTTTCATTACTGCCTCAGGTCTGTCACTGCTTCTGTTTCCAGAGCACACCTCTCCCCTCACACAGGGTGTGTTCACCAAACTCCACTGCATCCATTCAGATGGAAGAGTAAAAGCTTCACTTCAGCTGCAGGGACCCCTGCTTTCTCCCCCCCTTGCACCACATGCACACCATGAGCATCCTCTCTCAGTCTGTAGCTCTAGTCTGCACTTCAGCTACAAAGAACAAACCCCCACACCTAAGGAACTCAGAGCCCAGCCACCTCACCACTAACTTTCACCCTCAGGTGTTGGTTCATCCCCAGCCTGTACCTGCCCCTGCTGCCAAAACTGCTGTAAAAAAAGTGACAGGAAAGAAACAGATCTTGCACATTTCTTTGTAAAAATAAGAGTGAGAACATCCACAGACAGAAAAACTCCCTATTAAGGCTCCACAGGGGAAAAGCACTCCCAGAAGATAAATCAGGCAAGTAACATCTCTGTGGTGCACCAGCTTCTTCCAGGATACCAGTGAGCTCCTCCCAAGTACCAGGAAGCAGTGCTCTCATCCTTCACAGCTTTTTGCAGCACTACATAAATACTGGCTGGGATTATTTTTACTTTGAAGAGGAAACCAGTATTTTTTAAATATGAAAAGGGAAAATGACCAAAAACAGAAGGTACAGTACAGTTACTAAGAGGTGACAGTTACAGTCCTGGTACCAGCTTGAAATTTGTTAGAGTGAACAAAATCGTAAATCCTCCAGGTAAGACAGAGGAAATTTCTTGATGCCGGCTGTTTCAAGTACATCCATTGCCGGCAATGGATGGTGCACCAGGACAGTCTATTCCTGGCTTAAATGGATTTTACCAAAAAAAAGGTAAGAAAAGCGATCCCAGCAGACAAGCCCATGCCCACGAGCAATGGCACCTCGCCCTCAAGTCACATCCTGACCAAACATCTTTACCACTTTGCAGGTGGAGTCAAACTGCATCTTAAGTTGGGCCTTTCCCAAAGATACACGTTCTCCCCATCCTCTCTCCGTTTCTGATCCAGATCTCCTGTCTCCGTAGACAATATTGGTTAGTCTCGGTTTAGCTTCACCTACAACCCTCCATCCCACCCCCACCTGGCCCCTGTCACACTAGCAACTTCAGATCTGCCGCCCGGACAAGTTTCCCCAACACACGGAACGCTGTTCCAACACGCTGCCTCAGTGAGTTCCCTCTCCACACACCTACTCTAAACAGTAACAGTATCGCTAAAGAAACTCAAATGTCCCCATCACTAGGTACAAACCATCCATCCTTCTCTGAACTTGCCCTTTGTCCACCTGGGGGTCTGCTGGGAAGATGATGCTAACTGCAGAAGCAATAGAAGTCCAAGGCACTAAAATATCCAGCAAGCATACTGGGAGAACAGACAAGTATTCAAGTACATTAATTTATACAATTTTACATTCACATTTATTTATCTAATACAATGAAAATACAAAGGAAAAAGTTAAAGTGTCTCCAATAAGTATAAGGATATAGCTAGCTTTTTTTCCCATTTTTTCTTTTTAACTTTTTTAACCCTCTATATTCCACTCATTTTTAAACTACTGTTGTCCAACAACATTTATATATCACAGTGTTTCCACATCAAAACTGATGGTAAGTACATGTCCGCAGGGAACTTTTAAAAATTTTTAAACAATTTAAATTGCTCTAATGCTGCAGTCAAAGCTGTTAATATCTTACTTAAAGCAGTAATGACCTATCAAGCACGGGCTGCACTGCAAGTCCATTCATGTGCCCCATCATTTTGGAGCCAGATACGATTGACTGGGGAGAGGGAGAGGAGGGGGATTTGGACAGTTTTTCTCCTGGTCTCGGTTCTTCAGGGAGAGATGAGAAGCGTGCTAAAGCCTCATGCTAGGATTCAGCAGCTCTCCCACCTCAACACATGTGGATTCAGCCTCAAACCAGAAAAAAATTTTACAGCAAGACTGCATTAAC